GGTGTAAGGTGGGATTGATGATTCTTATTGGTGAAGAGAAACACACGCTCGTCTGTACCCGCAGAGGCGATGTATTTATCCCCCACCGCAATTGTGTTAATACAACCATCGTGGTGTTTGATGGAAAAGAGCAGCGCGAGGCGATCACGGCGAAAGACAAGACCCGCCATCACGGAATGATAAGTGCCAATCACAAGAAGAGCCCCACAACAACCCAACGTCCTCCTCCCTGCTGCTGCTGCTGTGGATATACTCTTCACAGTCGAACTACTGTTCATACTATTAGTACTAATGATATTAGTAGTATTAGTATTAGTAGTAGTAGTTATTTCTTTTGCGGGTTGTGGGGGTTTAGCATCTGTGTGGTCCTGCACCGGCTGCTTGGCGGGAATATTACTCTTACTCTTCGTCTTGCTGCTCATCCAGCTAAACTTACGATCTAATAATATCACCAAAGAATAATAACGAAAAAAATTAAGAGGAGAATAGGAATGGATAAAAGAGATCATTATAGAAAAACCACATGTTTACTTTACATATAATACAATAAGAAAAGGAAAATAATAAAAACCATCAGTTACATTAGTACTGGTTAAAGAGAATAATAATAAGCCAATATACAAATAGTAAACATATAAATTATTAACAACTCAACAATATCCACAGGTGATTCAACTATTATCACATTATTTTCTTCAGTAGAAGATATGGTTAAAAGACATCTTAAATAACAATAAAAAATAAGGAATCATTACAACCACTAACACAGAAAGTATAGGAATATACATGGAGAACAATTACAATAATCTCTGATAGCAGCAAACAAAACTATGGGGTGTATATTTGCAAAGAACAACAACAAACTATAATACACTCTCATCATCACAGAGGATAAATAAATATTCCCAAAAACACAAATGCCAAACACAGAAAACCAAAACAAAGTACATCTTATCTTCCTCATCATCATCATCAGCCACAGAATATAGCACAGTTACCATTGTCAATCACTGAGAAATAACTAACAGTAACAAAATAAGAATTCACAATAAAAGATATTAACTATCCACTGATAGGGAGAGAGAGACTAGGCTACCATTACTGTTGCTATCCAGAGTACTGTGGCTGGTTGGGCTATTGATGAGTACACTACT